GTTTTTTAAGATGGCCCTGTCTAAACAGGTATTTTAAGATAGGGTCCCCAGGGTTGAAACAGAGTTTTTTTTGATGGGAAATGTTGAAAGAGTATTTAAGTGTACCATGTTAACAGAGTATTTTAAGATAGGTACCATGTCCTGAAACAGAGTATTTTAAGATAGGTACCATGTCCTGAAACAGAGTATTTTAAGATAGGTACCATGTCCTGAAACAGAGTATTTTAAGATAGGTACCATGTCCTGAAACAGAGTATTTTAAGATAGGTACCATGTCCTGAAACAGAGTATTTTAAGATAGGTACCATTTTATACTGTTGTAGTCCCGGTACGGTAATTGTAGTGACAGTTTTCTTTTTGTTTTGTCCTTTTTTAAAAGGAGACTGTTAATTTCGACTTCGAGCTCGGGTTTTCTTTATTGGGCGGCGCTCAGCCTATCATTCCGCCGAATTCATATTGTTTATGAAGTATGACTATGAACATTATAGCCTGGGGTCTACGGTTTTTTTAATAGTATTTAGCGTTTAGTGCTGCTAATGAGCTAACTTATCAGCTGGCGTATTTGTCCGACGAGATTCCTGAGAGTGAGAGTAGACATCACCACTAAAGACAAAGCTGAGACCCAGCTTTGTGCATGATGGCAGCAGCCTGATGGATACTGTGATTCATGCGTTCTTTAAGTTTACCTACTTGAGCTAGAGCTTATTTACTGGGCGGCGCTCAGCTAATCAGCTTGTCATTCTGCCATTTCTTTTATGAACACCAAATCCTGAGGTCCCCAGGTAAAAGGTTATTTAACCTTTATAACACAGATAGAGTGGGTGACTCTGATATTCCTTTGCTTTACTTTGCTCTCTAGAACGACAATATAACATGTAACAGTTTCTACATACGGCCTTAGTCCTTAACCGGGCGAGTAGACAGTGAGCTACCAGCTAACTAATGGTATTGGGACAGCAGCAACGAAACGATATACTGGTCTTTCTGAATAGAGAGTTATTAGTTCACTAATGGTATTGGGACCAGAACAGAGAGAGAGAGAGAGACAGGTATTGGGAGAGCACAGTAATATTGACCCCAGGCAAAGAGCTGCACCGCATACGCCCCATTCATCCAGCCTTATATAGTTGAGTCAACTGGAATCTAACCATTTTTTAGTTGAAAAGTGATCTGTATGCACGATCAGAGATCCACTGGTTCAGCAAAGTTCTCAGACATCTTGTTGTTGAGTTATAACCTAGTTTTAATGCTCTCGTGAGTAGCAAGTTGAAGTAAAGCACTTAATTCAAAATATTTCAGCTTACGAGAGTTTAGTGTTAATCTTGGGCATACTAAGACTTCAGGATGTATTATAACTAACTCAAATGTAAAAATTCATAAAATTTGGTTGTAAAGATACATATATAACTATTAGTGCAGTGGAGGTAGCGGTGTGGTGCATTAATAGAGTGACAGCCTACTGATTTAGAGTTGTTTTTAAGTGAGCATAATGGGTATTTTTTGGACCTTAAGGCTTCAGTATGGCAACTTCAAAATTGGTTCTTATAATCATTTATTAAATATTGGTTATTTAACTGTCGTTATTTGTTGTAATATGTGGCCTATTTTCCCGTGTAGTTTTTAACGGAGGTTTTTGACGTATCATTTCGTATCATGCGGATAATCTTGCTGCTGTCCCTTTTCTTTATTGAAAATGCTGCTGAGGATCTAGATGAAGGTAGGATCACCATTCACCATAGTTTTTACATAATTTATATTGTTAGCAGTCAAATAATACTTTAAAATTCGATTGAACTATGAAATGGACAATTGATTAAATATATTCATAACACAATCGTCGAGTAATTTCCATAATTGATTATATTTTACTTGTGATATTATTATCTACCAGCTGATGTACTGTTATCTGCTTTAAGATAATAACGTGGTTATAACAACAGGTTGGATAGCAGTACAACGTAAGGTTCTTATAGACTTCAATCCGGAGCAGTATTCTCTTGAAATAAAGACTGATAGCACGCTAGGGAGTAAAGATATGGTGCGTGTGTACTTCTACACTTCACAGTTAGACAGCCGTTCAGGAGGACTCTTCTTCGACTTCTCCACTTCTCCTCAGTACGCTTTTTTCGATTGCAGCTCGGACCGCTTTAACTTCCCTACTGACCTACCTACTGCAACAGACAAGGTATGGAGGGTAACGTTAACTAGAACCTCAGGTATCAGACTAGTGGTACACTGTAACGAGAAGGAGGTGCTCAACTTCCTGATGTCAGGCTCAACGTGTGGTCGGAGTTACTGGAGCACTTACTGGAGCAGGGACATTGCATGGATACAGTTTGATCACGACGACACTGCGTCTGATTTCTACAGACCTCAACCAGGTAACTGGGTAATTCAAGATCTAAAATCTAAAATACGAAGATAAATGTTGATTGTAAAACGTGCATAATAGTTTAACGTGCCTATGAACGTGACGTGTAATACTCGATGTATTTCTAAATACAATTTGTTTTCTTTTATGGAATAATTGAGCCCTGTATAAAATATGTGAACTATCAAACTTGTTTAATTAGCAAGGGCAATATTTTTCAGGATGTACTAGACTGAAGGCTGAGTGGACAAGTACGATTGAGGCAGCAGCCGACTTTCCAGTAGACCCAGGAACTGTCTTGGAAGTGACCTGTTCTGACCCAGGAGCTCTCAACAAAGGGAGCAATGAAGTGACTTGCACGATAGGGACAGAATTCACCTTCTCAATAGAGCCTTGTTGCTTCAGCCTAGGTAAATCATTATAATAATATTTGTCATGCGCATAATCTGGTAACTGGTTTAACAACTGATTTGAAAACAGACTTTTTGGAAGGTGGATGCATAATTATAAAAACAGGTCAACACTCCAAAATGTAGGATAAAATCCAATTGCCCCACTTGACCCGACCATGTCCAAAATGACCCCTGTCCAGATTTACCCCACCCTACCCAACTGTTAACTTAGATATCAATTAAAACAAGAAAACGTGATAACTTCATATCTGCCAAATATCTTTATTTGAAATGTATACACCCTTTTGAATATCTCCCTTGCAAGCATTCAAGCATAATTTCTAAATTTCGGTCGGCAATTTCTGTAGATAACACTCTAAATAACTCTAATTCAGGTTAGTAACTTAATAATGAAGCAGGAATTTTTACACGAGAAAGCGACGCGATGAACGATGAACGATTCACCATAAGCTATATTATATAATAATGTTTTTGTTTGTTCTCAATAAGTGAAATCATCGTCAATAATATTAGCACGTACATAATTAACATAACATATATTGTAAATTTGATCTCCTAAAACCTCATGCTCGATTAAAATCGTTTAACTGCTGATAATATTGTAGGTGAATTATATTAATGAATCAAGTTCTAATTTCAGAGCAACGAGGCATCAAAAGAACAGAGGACCGTTCACAAAGGATCCTTCTCAATCTGTCATAATGAATTAGTTCCTTCATAGGGCCGCTTCTATCTAGCACTTCTCATCTACTCAGTAACGGTAATGACTTTGCTATCTTACAGTTTACACTCTACACCCGAAGAGAATTTACATTCTACACCAAAAATTTAAGAAGCAGTCCCTTATCTTCTTTGCATCTGGATTGCTATTTCTGTTTGTAGCTTCAGCGGTATTTTTAGCACTGGGTAAAGAATCAAGGAAATTTCCTAAAAAGATAGCTGTGATGACAATAATTGTGCTAATAACTTCAGGTTTGGTTGCAACCGTTATAATCTTGAAACGTTCCGGTGAAGCGAGCAAGAAAACGGAAAAGGCACAAACATCTGATGGAACGAGAGCTTCAGCGACAAGAACACGCTCGAGGGGCTTAATGTCTTTTAGCACATGCACTTCTGCATATGAAGTTGTGAAATCAGAGCCAAAAGAAGATGAAGAAGAGGAAGTGGTGGCGAGGAAGAGGGTAAATTCCAATGAAGAACGTTAGTGTTAGAGAGGTGAAACTGAACACCAAAGCATTTAATGAGACAAGGAGAGACATTGATAGTTTGTATTAAGACTAAATAACATGGTTACTTGGAAGTTTGTACTATTGCGATGTGATTATTTAGTGACAGTGTTCTGTTTACGTTTCTATTGTGCTTAAGTGTGTGATCTATTTTTTAATTTAAACGAAATGATTTATTTTAAAATTAAACTTCTTTTCCCGGATGCGCTGGTGCTGTTATGTTTGATGGGGAGGTGGATTATCCCTAAATAACATTATTTATAATAACAGTTAATTTGTGAATATATTTTTCATGTTGTTTCACGTGAGTTACAATGTTAAATTTGATAATTATTTGTTTTAGAATTTAAAGAATGTCAATGAATCACTATCAGTCGGAAATATTTCTCTTCAATTTCGTTTCTTCAATTTGATACAGTGTCCAGGAGCAAGAGCAGGAGCAAGAATTCTAAAACCACCGTCCTAAATCAATCCAAATCCAATAACGCTGTAAGTACATTATAAACGGTACAAATATCATCACTTGATTCTTTTTCATACAACCAAAATAACTATTGTTTATTTTGCCTCCCGCTGTATCAAAAATATAATATCCATTCCAACAGACACAATATGGAACATAAAAAATTGTTAAAAGTAATTGAAGTGACGCCAGGTTTAATCTGTTGAAATAAAACTGTTGTGAATTTGCAGTTTGGCTTTATAGAACACTCGTCGATTTATACTTTATACTACTAATATGTTTTTTTAAAATATGATTTTAACTATATGAGCAAATATTCGGTGTCTTTACAGCAATTTTTTAATGATAATCAAGCTAAAGGAAGCATACAGCTAACTGTCACCAAGATGTAATTAGATCGAACGCAGAAATTAGATCGAATCGGTTTGATCTAGGAATTAGATCGAACGCCGGCGCGGAATTCAATGTATTTGTATAATATGTATCTCGCGCCGGCGTTCGATCTAATTCCTAGATCGAACCGGTTCGATCTAATTTCTGCGTTCGATCTAATTACATCTTGGTGACAGTAATACTTAAAATTGTTCCATACTTCGGACAAACTTCACCTTTAAAATCCGTTCAATCCCTTTCACCCTGCTTCTTAAGAAAATGATGTTATTAATTAATCTCCATTCTCCAATTACTTGCCCTACCTTAGAGAAGCGATTAAGTATTCTGCCAGAAGGTGTGGTGTCAAAGAAGCTCATAGGTACTTTCAGTATTCTCTCGAACATAGATCTGAAAAGTATCATCTTCTATAACAGGAAGATACGTTCCCAGGGGGGGGGGGGGCTCACTGCTGCTCACTGCTACTCACTGAGTGAGCAGCAGTCATTTTGACGCTGTTGGACTGAATTTCATGTGAGCTGATATGAGGAATCTGATCCAAACTAGAAGGTCAGCAGTCAATTAAATTAATTAAATAACAATGTATTGTAAAAGACCTGTGTATCTTAGAGGAAGCCATGATACTAGCGTAGAGTATTGCAAAAACAAAGCCCAGCACGAAAACAGTTTGTAGTAAACCCAGAAGAGCGTATATACCCAAGTACAGGAACAATTTATTATCTGAAATAAAATGAAATGAAATAATGTGCTTTTATACCGCCCATATGGTTAGCAAATGACACAAGTGTCAGGTACTAACCACGACAGAGCGGTTCTAAAGGGTGACGTGAAAATATCCAGCAACAAACAACTAAATCATCTCAAAAAAACAAATCTATTCAGTAAATATTATAAACTAAAATTCTCCATATACAGGGTGAGAAATCAATAATGAACTGTGTCAGCGTTATCGTACAGTGCCAGTGTAACTCATCAATTTACTCTCTATTAATGCTTTTCATACAAAGTTACAACGAATTCTTCATGTTATGCATCCTGGGTTTGGACAAGATATGACCCGTTTAAAATATTTCCATCACGTTACATCACATAATTCTCAATAAATGTAATAGATTTGTTGTGTTGTTATATAATATCCTTAATAAATGTAATTAAATAGATTTGTAGTATATATATATACAGTGTTGTAATTAGTTTAAAACTAATGTCCCACTAGTAACCTGTGTCAGTGTTATCGTTAGAGTTACTCCACTCGGATAACCACAGTTGAGAGCCAAGTTGAGATGCGTACTGTAGAATGAAGGAGACCAGTGTAACTGGGGAATATTTGCTATTACACATGTGACAAGAGTATATTGTGACAATAATATCTCAACATGTTACAATATTTCAACATGTGACAATATCTCAAAATGTGACAATATCTCAAAATGTGACAATATCTCAAAATGTGACAATATCTCAACATGTGACAATATCTCAACATGTGACAATATCTCAACATGTGACAATATCTCAACATGTGACAATATCTCAAAATGTGACAATATCTCAACATGTGACAATATCTCAACATGTGACAATATCTCAACATGTGACAATATCTCAACATGTGACAATATCTCAACATGTGACAATATCTCAACATGTGACAATATCATGTGCGAAATTGAGCAAATAGTAATATACCAGCTTAAGAACCCTATATCATATATCATGTAGCAGTAATTTAATAATATGTATAGCAGTGGCAATGTAGCATTTCAACTGTGAATTGAATTTAATTTAGATATTTACCAAAAATTCAGCTATAATCGTATTATAGTGAGGGCGATAATTTAAAAGTAGGAATTAATATTATATCAATATCGTACAAAATACAAAATGGCGTTATTTGCAAGCTTCAAGCTTGTGATACCTCCAATTTCCGATAGATAATTAATGTAAAAGTAAAACTTACATTCAGTAATAAAATTAAAATTTGTAGAATAACTTACTGGCCCCGTAAGTAATTCCCATGTAGTTCAAGTAGTTCACGTACGTTTTGTACGATATCTGCGGAATATTACTATATTACATGTACGTTTTGTACGATATCTGCGGAATATTACTATATTACATGTACGTTTTGTACGATATCTGCGGAATATTACTATATTACATGTACGTTTTGTACGATATCTGCGGAATATTACTATATTACATGTACGTTTTGTACGATATCTGCGGAATATTACTATATTACATGTACGTTTTGTACGATATCTGCGGAATATTACTATATTACATGTACGTTTTGTACGATATCTGCGGAATATTACTATATTACATGTACGTTTTGTACGATATCTGCGGAATATTACTATATTACATGTACGTTTTGTACGATATCTGCGGAATATTACTATATTACATGTACGTTTTGTACGATATCTGCGGAATATTACTATATTACATGTACGTTTTGTACGATATCTGCGGAATATTACTATATTACATGTACGTTTTGTACGATATCTGCGGAATATTACTATATTACATGTACGTTTTGTACGATATCTGCGGAATATTACTATATTACATGTACGTTTTGTACGATATCTGCGGAATATTACTATATTACATGCACGTTTTGTACGATATCTGCGGAATATTACTATATTACATGTACGTTTTGTACGATATCTGCGGAATATTACTATATTACATGTACGTTTTGTACGATATCTGCGGAATATTACTATATTACATGTACGTTTTGTACGATATCTGCGGAATATTACTATATACATGTACGTTTTGTACGATATCTGCGGAATATTACTATATTACATGTACGTTTTGTACGATATCTGCGGAATATTACTATATTACATGTACGTTTTGTACGATATCTGCGGAATATTACTATATTACATGTACGTTTTGTACGATATCTGCGGAATATTACTATATTACATGTACGTTTTGTACGATATCTGCGGAATATTACTATATTACATGTACGTTTTGTACGATATCTGCGGAATATACTATATTACATGTACGTTTTGTACGATATCTGCGGAATATTACTATATTACATGTACGTTTTGTACGATATCTGCGGAATATTACTATATTACATGTACGTTTTGTACGATATCTGCGGAATATTACTATATTACATGTACGTTTGTACGATATCTGCGGAATATTACTATATTACATGTACGTTTTGTACGATATCTGCGGAATATTACTATATTACATGTACGTTTTGTACGATATCTGCGGAATATTACTATATTACATGTACGTTTTGTACGATATCTGCGAATATTACTACTATTACATGTACTTTTTGTACGATATCTGCGGAAAATTACTATATTACATGTACGTTTTTGTACGATATCTGCGGAATATTACTATATTACATGTACGTTTTGTACGATATCGTGCGGAATATTACTATATTACATGTACGTTTTGACGATATCTGCGGAATATTACTATATTACATGTACGTTTTGTACGATATCTGCGGAATATTCCTATATTACATGTACGTTTTGTACGATATCTGCGGAATATTACTATATTACATGTACGTTTTTGTACGATATCTGCGGAATATTACTATATTACATGTACGTTTTGTACGATATCTGCGGAATATTACTATATTACATGTACGTTTTGTACGATATCTGCGGAATATTACTATATTACATGTACGTTTTGTACGATATCTGCGGAATATTACTATATTACATGTACGTTTTGTACGATATCTGCGGAATATTACTATATTACATGTACGTTTTGTACGATATCTGCGGAATATTACTATATTACATGTACGTTTTGTACGATATCTGCGGAATATTACTATATTACATGTACGTTTTGTACGATATCTGCGGAATATTACTATATTACATGTACGTTTTGTACGATATCTGCGGAATATTACTATATTACATGTACGTTTTTGTACGATATCTGCGGAATATTACTATATTACATGTACGTTTTGTACGATATCTGCGGAATATTACTATATTACATGTACGTTTGTACGATATCTGCGGAATATTACTATATTACATGTACGTTTTGTACGATATCTGCGGAATATTACTATATTACATGTACGTTTTGTACGATATCTGCGGAATATTACTATATTACATGTACGTTTTGTACGATATCTGCGGAATATTACTATATTACATGTACGTTTTGTACGATATCTGCGGAATGTTACTATATTACATGTACGTTTTGTACGATATCTGCGGAATGTTACTATATTACATGTACGTTTGTACGATATCTGCGGAATGTTACTATATTACATGTACGTTTTGTACGATATCTGCGGAATGTTACTATATTACATGTACGTTTTGTACGATATCTGCGGAATATTACTATATTACATGTACGTTTTGTACGATATCTGCGGAATATTACTATATTACATGTACGTTTTGTACGATATCTGCGGAATATTACTATATTACATGTACGTTTTGTACGATATCTGCGGAATATTACTATATTACATGTACGTTTTGTACGATATCTGCGGAATATTACTATATTACATGTACGTTTTGTACGATATCTGCGGAATATTACTATATTACATGTACGTTTTGTACGATATCTGCGGAATATTACTATATTACATGTACGTTTTGTACGATATCTGCGGAATATTACTATATTACATGTACGTTTTGTACGATATCTGCGGAATATTACTATATTACATGTACGTTTTGTACGATATCTGCGGAATATTACTATATTACATGTACGTTTTGTACGATATCTGCGGAATATTACTATATTACATGTACGTTTTGTACGATATCTGCGGAATATTACTATATTACATGTACGTTTTGTACGATATCTGCGGAATATTACTATATTACATGTACGTTTTGTACGATATCTGCGGAATATTACTATATTACATGTACGTTTTGTACGATATCTGCGGAATATTACTATATTACATGTACGTTTTGTACGATATCTGCGGAATATTACTATATTACATGTACGTTTTGTACGATATCTGCGGAATATTACTATATTACATGTACGTTTTGTACGATATCTGCGGAATATTACTATATTACATGTACGTTTTGTACGATATCTGCGGAATATTACTATATTACATGTACGTTTTGTACGATATCTGCGGAATATTACTATATTACATGTACGTTTTTGTACGATATCTGCGGAATATTACTATATTACATGTACGTTTTGTACGATATCTGCGGAATATTACTATATTACATGTACGTTTTGTACGATATCTGCGGAATATTACTATATTACATGTACGTTTTGTACGATATCTGCGGAATATTACTATATTACATGTACGTTTTGTACGATATCTGCGGAATATTACTATATTACATGTACGTTTTGTACGATATCTGCGGAATATTACTATATTACATGTACGTTTTGTACGATATCTGCGGAATATTACTATATTACATGTACGTTTTGTACGATATCTGCGGAATATTACTATATTACATGTACGTTTTTGTACGATATCTGCGGAATATTACTATATTACATGTACGTTTTGTACGATATCTGCGGAATATTACTATATTACATGTACGTTTTGTACGATATCTGCGGAATATTACTATATTACATGTACGTTTTGTACGATATCTGCGGGAATATTACTATATTACATGTACGTTTTGTACGATATCTGCGGGAATATTACTATATTACATGTACGTTTTGTACGATATCTGCGGAATATTACTATATTACATGTACGTTTTGTACGATATCTGCGGAATATTACTATATTACATGTACGTTTTGTACGATATCTGCGGAATATTACTATATTACATGTACGTTTTGTACGATATCTGCGGAATATTACTATATTACATGTACGTTTTGTACGATATCTGCGGAATATTACTATATTACATGTACGTTTTGTACGATATCTGCGGAATATTACTATATTACATGTACGTTTTGTACGATATCTGCGGAATATTACTATATTACATGTACGTTTTGTACGATATCTGCGGAATATTACTATATTACATGTACGTTTTGTACGATATCTGCGGAATATTACTATATTACATGTACGTTTTGTACGATATCTGCGGAATATTACTATATTACATGTACGTTTTGTACGATATCTGCGGAATATTACTATATTACATGTACGTTTTGTACGATATCTGCGGAATATTACTATATTACATGTACGTTTTGTACGATATCTGCGGAATATTACTATATTACATGTACGTTTTGTACGATATCTGCGGAATATTACTATATTACATGTACGTTTTGTACGATATCTGCGGAATATTACTATATTACATGTACGTTTTGTACGATATCTGCGGAATATTACTATATTACATGTACGTTTTGTACGATATCTGCGGAATATTACTATATTACATGTACGTTTTGTACGATATCTGCGGAATATTACTATATTACATGTACGTTTTGTACGATATCTGCGGAATATTACTATATTACATGTACGTTTTGTACGATATCTGCGGAATATTACTATATTACATGTACGTTTTGTACGATATCTGCGGAATATTACTATATTACATGTACGTTTTGTACGATATCTGCGGAATATTACTATATTACATGTACGTTTTGTACGATATCTGCGGAATATTACTATATTACATGTACGTTTTGTACGATATCTGCGGAATATTACTATATTACATGTACGTTTTGTACGATATCTGCGGAATATTACTATATCTACATGTACGTTTTGTACGATATCTGCGGAATATTACTATATTCACATGTACGTTTTGTACGATATCTGCGGAATATTACTATATTACATGTACGTTTTGTACGATATCTGCGGAATATTACTATATTACATGTACGTTTTGTACGATATCTGCGGAATATTACTATATTACATGTACGTTTTGTACGATATCTGCGGAATATTACTATATTACATGTACGTTTTGTACGATATCTGCGGAATATTACTATATTACATGTACGTTTTGTACGATATCTGCGGAATATTACTATATTACATGTACGTTTTGTACGATATCTGCGGAATATTACTATATTACATGTACGTTTTGTACGATATCTGCGGAATATTACTATATTACATGTACGTTTTGTACGATATCTGCGGAATATTACTATATTACATGTACGTTTTGTACGATATCTGCGGAATATTACTATATTACATGTACGTTTTGTACGATATCTGCGGAATATTACTATATTACATGTACGTTTTGTACGATATCTGCGGAATATTACTATATTACATGTACGTTTTGTACGATATCTGCGGAATATTACTATATTACATGTACGTTTTGTACGATATCTGCGGAATATTACTATATTACATGTACGTTTTGTACGATATCTGCGGAATATTACTATATTACATGTACGTTTTGTACGATATCTGCGGAATATTACTATATTACATGTACGTTTTGTACGATATCTGCGGAATATTACTATATTACATGTACGTTTTGTACGATATCTGCGGAATATTACTATATTACATGTACGTTTTGTACGATATCTGCGGAATATTACTATATTACATGTACGTTTTGTACGATATCTGCGGAATATTACTATATTACATGTACGTTTTGTACGATATCTGCGGAATATTACTATATTACATGTACGTTTTGTATGATATCTGCGGAATATTACTATAAAACATGTACGTTTTGTATGATATCTGCGGAATTTAAATTAAAACATGTACGTTTTGTACGATATCTGCGGAATTTAAATTAAAACATGTACGTTTTGTACGATATCTGCGGAATTTAAATTAAAACTTACGCAAAACTCTAATCGCAGCTTGATGTAATTGGTAATCAACCCAACAAGGTAATTTATATAGTTATAGCTTTACACTGTTGTTAAATAAGAAGTAACAGTGTAATGCTTTTGGACACGAAGGGAAACACACAACGTAAAGCTTGAAATCTTCGTAAAACTACATCATTAGAGCCTCAAATTATTTGTTATATATAACAAATAATTTGAGGCTCTAATGATGTAGTTTTACGAAGATTTCAAGCTTTACGTTGTGTGTTTCCCTTCGTGTCCAAAAGCATTACACTGTTACTTCTTATTTAACAACAGTGTAAAGCTATAACTATATAAATTACCTTGTTGGGTTGATTACCAATTACATCAAGCTGCGACTATATATAGTACTGTTGAAAGTATTAAAACAGTAATAGTAACAGTATAGTAGCATAGTATAACAGTAATAGTAACAGTATAGTAGTATAGTATAACAGTAATAGTAACAGTATAGTAGTATAGTATAATAGTAATAGTAACAGTATAGTAGTATAGTATAACAGTAATAGTAACAGTATAGTAGTATAGTATAACAGTAATAGTAACAGTATAGTAGTATAGTATAATAGTAATAGTAACAGTATAGTAGTATAGTATAACAGTAATAGTAACAGTATAGTAGTATAGTATAACAGTATAGTAGTATAGTATAACAGTATAGTAGTATAGTATAACAGTATAGTAGTATAGTATAACAGTATAGTAGTATAGTATAACAGTATAGTAGTATAGTATAACATAGTAGTATAGTATAACAGTATAGTAGTACAGTATAACAGTATAGTAGTATAGTATAACAGTATAGTAGTATAGTATAACAGTATAGTAGTATAGTATAACAGTATAGCATTATAATATAACAGTATAGTAGTATAGTATAACAGTATAGTAGTATAGTATAACAGTATAGTAGTATAGTATAACAGTATAGTAGTATAGTATAACAGTATAGTAGTATAGTATAACAGTATAGTAGTATAGTATAACAGTATAGTAGTATAGTAGTATAGATGGGACTCACTTTTCCTTTCTCTACTGTTTCCTCAGTTATAAGCTTCTCATCCTTCCCGCCCGTATTATTCCCTTTTATGGAGCACGTTTCACTTTCTGATTAATATTTAATAGGAGATATTTAATGGGGATTAGCAAGTTTTATATCTATTACAATGTACACATTTTACATATATGTGTCATATACCTTTTACTAGTGTAACATACCTTTTACTAGACGTGTAACATACCTTTTCTAGTGTAACATACCTTTTACTAGTGTAACATACCTTTTACTAGACGTGTAACATACCTTTTCTAGTGTAACATACCTTTTACTAGTGTAACATACCTTTTACTAGTGTAACATACCTTTTACTAGTGTAACATACCTTTGACTAGTGTAACATACCTTTTACTAGTGTAACATACCTTTTACTAGTGTAACATACCTTTTACTAGTGTAACATACCTTTTATTAGTGTAACATACCTTTTACTAGTGTAATATACCTTTTATTAGTGTAACATACCTTTTATTAGTGTAACATACCTTTTACTAGTGTAACATACCTTTTACTAGTGTAACATACCTTTGACTAGTGTAACATACCTTTTACTAGTGTAACATACCTTTTACTAGTGTAACATACCTTTTACTAGTGTAACATACCTTTTATTAGTGTAACATACCTTTTACTAGTGTAATATACCTTTTATTAGTGTAACATACCTTTTATTAGTGTAACATACCTTTTACTAGTGTAACATACCTTTTACTAATGTAACATACCTTTTACTAGTGTAACATACCTTTTACTAGTGTAACATACCTTTTACTAGTGTAACATACCTTTGACTAGTGTAACATACCTTTTACTAGTGTAACATACCTTTGACTAGTGTAACATACCTTTTACTAGTGTAACATACCTTTTACTAGTGTAACATACCTTTTACTAGTGTAACATACCTTTTATTAGTGTAACATACCTTTTACTAGTGTAATATACCTTTTATTAGTGTAACATACCTTTTATTAGTGTAACATACCTTTTACTAGTGTAACATACCTTTTACTAATGTAACATACCTTTTACTAGTGTAACATACCTTTTATTAGTGTAACATACCTTTTATTAGTGTAACATACCTTTGATTAGTGTAACATACCTTTGATTAGTGTAACATACCTTTTACTAGTGTAACATACCTTTTACTAGTGTAACATACCTTTTATTAGTGTAACATACCTTTTACTAGTGTAATATACCTTTTACTAGTGTAACATACCTTTTATTAGTGTAACATACCTTTTACTAGTGTAAAATACCTTTTACTAGTGTAACATACCCTTTACTAGTGTAACATACCTTTTATTAGTGTAACATACCTTTTATTAGTGTAACATACCTTTTATTAGTGTAACATACCTTTTACTAGTGTAACATACCTTTTATTAGTGTAACATACCTTTTATTAGTGTAACATACCTTTTATTAGTGTAACATACCTTTTATTAGTGTAACATACCTTTTACTAGTGTAACATACCTTTTATTAGTGTAACATACCTTTTATTAGTGTAACATACCTTTTACTAGTGTAATATACCTTTTATTAGTGTAACATACCTTTTATTAGTGTAACATACCTTTTACTAGTGTAACATACCTTTTACTTATGTAACATACCTTTTACTAGTGTAACATACCTTTTATTAGTGTAACATACCTTTTATTAGTGTAACATACCTTTGATTAGTGTAACATACCTTTTACTAGTGTAACATACCTTATACTAGTGTAACATACCTTTTATTAGTGTAACATACCTTTTACTAGTGTAATATACCTTTTACTAGTGTAACATACCTTTTATTAGTGTAACATACCTTTTATTAGTGTAACATACCTTTTATTAGTGTAACATACCCTTTACTAGTGTAACATACCTTTTATTAGTGTAACATACCTTTTATTAGTGTAACATACCTTTTACTAGTGTAACATACCTTTTATTAGTGTAACATACCTTTTACTAGTGTAATATACCTTTTATTAGTGTAACATACCTTTTATTAGTGTAACATACCTTTTATTAGTGTAACATACCTTTTATTAGTGTAACATACCTTTTACTAATGTAACATACCTTTTACTAGTGTAACATACCTTTTATTAGTGTAACATACCTTTTATTAGTGTAACATACCTTTGATTAGTGTAACATACCTTTTACTAGTGTAACATACCTTTTATTAGTGTAACATACCTTTTATTAGTGTAACATACCTTTTACTAGTGTAATATACCTTTTACTAGTGTAACATACCTTTTATTAGTGTAACATACCTTTTACTAGTGTAACATACCTTTTACTAGTGTAACATACCCTTTACTAGTGTAACATACCTTTTATTAGTGTAACATACCTTTTACTAATGTAACATACCTTTTACTAGTGTAACATACCTTTTACTAGTGTAACATACCTTTTACTAGTGTAACATACCTTTGACTAGTGTAACATACCTTTTACTAGTGTAACATACCTTTGACTAGTGTAACATACCTTTTACTAGTGTAACATACCTTTTACTAGTGTAACATACCTTTTACTAGTGTAACATACCTTTTATTAGTGTAACATACCTTTTACTAGTGTAATATACCTTTTATTAGTGTAACATACCTTTTATTAGTGTAACATACCTTTTATTAGTGTAACATACCTTTTACTAGTGTAACATACCTTTTATTAGTGTAACATACCTTTTATTAGTGTAACATACCTTTTATTAGTGTAACATACCTTTTATTAGTGTAACATACCTTCTACTAGTGTAACATACCTTTTATTAGTGTAACATACCTTTTATTAGTGTAACATACCTTTGATTAGTGTAACATACCTTTTACTAGTGTAACATACCTTTTACTAGTGTAACATACCTTTTATTAGTGTAACATACCTTTTACTAGTGTAATATACCTTTTACTAGTGTAACATACCTTTTATTAGTGTAACATACCTTTTACTAGTGTAACATACCTTTTACTAGTGTAACATACCCTTTACTAGTGTAACATACCTTTTATTAGTGTAACATACCTTTTATTAGTGTAACATACCTTTTATTAGTGTAACATACCTTTTATTAGTGTAACATACCTTTTACTAGTGTAACATACCTTTTATTAGTGTAACATACCTTTTATTAGTGTAACATACCTTTTATTAGTGTAACATACCTTTTACTAGTGTAACATACCTTTTATTAGTGTAACATACCTTTTACTAGTGAAACATACCTTATATTAGTGTAACATACCTTTTACTAGTGTAACATACCTTTTACTAGTGTAACATACCTTTGACTAGTGTAACATACCTTTTACTAGTGTAACATACCTTTTCTAGTGTAACATACCTTTTACTAGTGTAACATACCTTTTACTAGTGTAACATACCCTTTACTAGTGTAACATACCTTTTATTAGTGTAACATACCTTTTATTAGTGTAACATACCTTTTATTAGTGTAACATACCTTTTACTAGTGTAACATACCTTTTATTAGTGTAACATACCTTTTATTAGTGTAACATACCTTTTATTAGTGTAACATACCTTTTATTAGTGTAACATACCTTTTACTAGTGTAACATACCTTTTATTAGTGTAACATACCTTTTATTAGTGTAACATACCTTTGATTAGTGTAACATACCTTTTACTAGTGTAACATACCTTTTATTAGTGTAACATACCTTTTATTAGTGTAACATACCTTTTACTAGTGTAATATACCTTTTACTAGTGTAACATACCTTTTATTAGTGTAACATACCTTTTACTAGTGTAACATACCTTTTACTAGTGTAACATACCCTTTACTAGTGTAACATACTTTTTATTAGTGTAACATACCTTTTATTAGTGTAACATACCTTTTAATAGTGTAGCATACCTTTTACTAGTGTAACATACCTTTTACTAGTGTAACATACCTTTTACTAGTGTAACATACCTTTTACTAGTGTAACATACCTTTTGCTAGTGTAACATACCTTTTATTAGTGTAACATACCTTTTTTTAGTGTAACATACCTTTTACTAGTGTAACATACCTTTTACTAGTGTAATATACCTTTTACTAGTGTAACATACCTTTTACTAGTGTAACATACCTTTTACTAGTGTAACATACCTTTTACTAGTGTAACATACCTTTAATTAGTGTAACATACCTTTTACTAGTGTAACATACCTTTAACTAGTGTAACATACCTTTTATTAGTGTAACATACCTTTTATTAGTGTAACATACCTTTTATTAGTGTAACATACCTTTTACTAGTGTAACATACCTTTAATTAGTGTAACATACCTTTTATTAGTGTAACATACCTTTTATTAGTATAACATACCTTTAATTAGTGTAACATACCTTTTCTAGAACGTGCAGTGCTCTTCCTGCGTCTCACTGTATTCTCGTCACGTGACATATCTCCTAACTCTGAGTCTGACGTGTCTTCCTCTGCAAAGGGTTCATCATGTCAGTAGTAGTAGTAGTATCATGTCAATACTTTTACTCTTTCAGCGAAAACATTGACCCACTTCTTAATCAATTAATTTAGCTTGGTTCCGCTTGAGAGTCGGCTTTGTTTTTGAATGGAATAAGTTATGTTAATTAAACATTTTCTGAATATTTATTTCCTGTGTACCCATAGGTCACATTATTGACTCGGGTATATGTCTTCATACGACTTTATTAAAATCAGTTAGTATGACACTTAATTAGCTTGTAACAAACACCACAAAACAGTGGTGTACACACAAGGATACAGTGGTGTACACACAAGGATACAATGGTGTACCTTACTGGTAGCTACCTACTGTATTTAGTCTGTATTTAGTCTGTACTTAGTCTTGTTGTAGCACCTTGTAGCACCCTCTACTATATAATCTTATAATATGGTTCTCGTCTACACAAATAAGGGATAGGATTCAGAGGGCTGGTAATTACAGTCTTCAGGTACCACACTTGCAGGTACCACACTTGTAGGTACCACACTTGCAGGTACCACACTTGCAGGTACCACACTTGTAGGTACCACACTTGCAGGTACCACACTTGCACTTTGCAGGTACCACACTTGCAGGTACCACACTTGCAGGTACCAAACTTGCAGGTACCACTAACCACACTTGCAGGTACCAAACTTGCAGGTACCACTAACCACACTTGCAGGTACCACACTTGCAGGTACCACACTTGCAGGTACCACACTTGTAGGTACCACACTTGCAGGTACCACACTTGTAGGTACCACACTTGCAGGTACCACATTTGCAGGTACCACACTTGCAGGTACCACACTTGCAGGTACCACACTTGCAGGTACCACACTTGCAGGTACCACACTTGCAGGTACCACACTTGCAGGTACCACACTTGCAGGTACCACACTTGCAGGTACCACACTTGCAGGTACCAAACTTGCAGGTACCACTAACCACACTTGCAGGTACCAAACTTGCAGGTACCACACTTGCAGGTACCACACTTGTAGGTACCACACTTGCAGGTACCACACTTGTAGGTACCACACTTGCAGGTACCACATTTGCAGGTACCACACTTGCAGGTACCACACTTGCAGGTACCACACTTGCAGGTACCACACTTGCAGGTACCACACTTGCAGGTACCACACTTGCAGGTACCACACTTGCAGGTACCACACTTGCAGGTACCACACTTGCAGGTACCACACTTGTAGGTACCACACTTGCAGGTACCACACTTGCAGGTACCACACTTGCAGGTACCACACTTGCAGGTACCACACTTGTAGGTACCACACTTGCAGGTACCACACTTGCAGGTACCACACTTGCAGGTACCACACTTGCAGGTACCACACTTGCAGGTACCACACTTGCAGGTACCACACTTGCAGGTACCACACTTGCAGGTACCACACTTGCAGGTACCACACTTGTAGGTACCACACTTGCAGGTACCACACTTGCAGGTACCACACTTGCAGGTACCACACTTGCAGGTACCACCCGTATTCACACTCAGAATTGAGTTTAGTCATTTTTCCAATATGAGATTGGGGACGGGTTCTATAAACAAACAAACAGACAAACAACTATACAGTCTCGTGTTTCCTTTTTCCCAAACTCCACGGTAAATCGGGGTTTTACTGTAACTACGTGTTATGCAGAATAATGGCTGTAGCACGAGTCGCTGTAGAAGTCAGTGTATAATGTACTTTGCTTTCAAGTACATTGTACAATGTGTACTGTGTATAATGTACATAGTACAATGTGTATTGTGTATAATGTACCTTGTACATTGTGTATTGTGTATAATGTGGATTGTGTGGTGTGCACTGTATATAATGTATACTGAACAATGCATACTGTGTAAAGTGCGGAAAGTACGGTGTACTGTGTACAATGTGCGGTGTATACATTGTATAATGTATAATGTGCGGTGTGTACAGTGCTACAGTGTATAAAGGTATAATGTACAATGTGCGGTGTATATAATGCACACTGAAAGAGTGAAATTGGTTGAATTAGTGTCGGCTGTGTCTGACATTGTACGGTATCCATCTGTGCAACTCACAAATTAAATATAGCTAGAATCTCTGTAGGTACATGTATTTAATAGCAGCTTATACAGCAAGTCATAACTAATGATGGTTTGATTGAGTTACTGAAACCTTTTTCAAAAATGCAGTGATGTTATTAGGAGAGCATGACGTAGTAGCTATGACGTATTATGACGTATTATGACGTAAGAGTAGCTATTATAGTACGTGCTAGTTAACAGATCATCTCATTTCCGGCTCTGTAAAACACACAAAGATGCGGACTAAGGTGGCAGGCATCACATACAATGAAGGTTTTGTGGGTTTAAGGGCAGGCATCACATATACAATGAAGGTTTTGTGGGTTTAAGGGCATGCATCACATACAATGAAGGTTTTGTGGGTTTAAGGGCATGCATCACATACAATAAATGTTTTGTGGGTTTAAGGGCATGCATCACATACAATGAATGTTTTGTGGGTTTAAGGGCAGGCATCACATACAATGAAGGTTTTGTGGGTTTAAGGGCAGGCATCACATACAATGAAGGTTTTGTGGGTTTAAGGGGCTATACACCTAATCTGTTCAACACACATAACTTAACAGGACTTTCAGTGACAAATTGTGCAGAATAGCCATATTTATATACAACTTATGAAGCAACATATTATACCTTAAAATTTTCATATTCTGAATTATCAACTTTCTGTTCTAAAGATAGTACTTTATAGTTTATAATCTCAGAAGTAAAGCCCCATTCTTCACGTAACCAATGTTTCAACTATCATTAACTAACTATTATTAGTTTCTAAATTTCATCTGTTAAATTTTCCGACTTATAGCTTACATTATTTCTAATAAGCTTTACTAATACAATCAGCTATGTAATTACAATCCGATTAACTAATTAATTAATTGACTTACTGTCTGTGTTGGTGTCCTGGTCGGGTTCGTAGGAGGACACTAGCCTGTGTAGCTCGCTGTCTTTACCCATGAGATCGTTATATGTTCCTATAGTTCCATATTATTAGTTACATATTATTAGTTACATATTATTAGTTACATATCATTAGTTACATATTATTAGTTACATATTATTAGTTACATATTATTAGTTACATATTATTAGTTACATATTATTAGTTACATATTATTAGTTACATATTATTAGTTACATATTATTAGTTACATATTATTAGTTACATATTATTAGTTACATATTATTAGTTACATATTATTAGTTACATATTATTAGTTACATATTATTAGTTACATATTATTAGTTACATATTATTAGTTACATATTATTAGTTACATATTATTAGTTACATATTATTAGTTACATATTATTAGTTACATATTATTAGTTACATATTATTAGTTACATATTATTAGTTACATATTATTAGTTACATATTATTAGTTACATATTATTAGTTACATATTATTAGTTACATCTTATTATAAACAATATAATCTCAACATGGAAAACGTGTGCTGTAATATAACATTACAGCATTACGTGATACGCTTACTCATATCACCTGTGTTCCTATTCTGAAAGCCAGTATAAACTACAATAACTTTATAGTTTTGGTATAAACTACTATAACTTTATAGTTTTAGTATAAACTACTATAACTTTATAGTTTTGGTATAAACTACTATAACTTTATAGTTTTAGTATAAACTACTATAACTTTATAGTTTTAGTATAAACTACTATAACTTTATAGTTTTAGTATAAACTACTATAACTTTATAGTTTTAGTATAAACTACTATAACTTTATAGTTTTAGTATAAACTACTATATTAACTTTATAGTTTTAGTATAAACTACTATAACTTTATAGTTTTAGTATAAACTACTATAACTTTATAGTTTTAGTATAAACTACTATAACTTTATAGTTTTAGTATAAACTTCTATAACTTTATAGTTTAAGTATAAACTACTATAACTTTATAGTTTTAGTATAAACTACTATAACTTTATAGTTTTGGTATAAACTACTATAACTTTATAGTTTTAGTATAAACTACTATTACTTTATAGTTTTAGTATAAACTACTATAACTTTATAGTTTTGGTATAAACTACTATAACTTTATAGTTTTAGTATAAACTACTATTACTTTATAGTTTTAGTATAAACTACTAAATGTTAACCTTGTTCTAGAACCTGCCCATCCTTCAGCAATACCACGTGATCTACTTCCGGCAGGACTGATAACTTGTGCGTTACTAAAATCCTCGTCTGGGTGGGAATGTTATGATACGTTATCAAATACAGATTGGTTCATAATTTAGTGTTCTTAAATTAACTATAACGAATATTTTCTAAATTTTAAAATAATATTTCAAGTTGCAATTCAAAGACACTCCAAAAATAAGTTGTCAGGAATATCATAATACTACTATTGATTAATTAGTTCATGCAGTAATTCTATCCCCCCTAAGAAAATAAGTAACGCGACATCAAGATACTAAGAATAAAGACTAACCTTATTATTTATCATTCCGTTAGGTCCGATAACTTTTTCAAAGAGATGTTTTCCCACGTGCGCGTCAACAGCAGATAAAGGATCGTCGAATATGTAGATATCATTCTTGTTGTATATTGCACGTGCAAGTGAGACGCGCTGCTTCTGTCCACCGCTCAGGTTAATGCCCTGTGTGGAGAGGTATGTATAACAGGACACAGGTATGTATAAGAGGTATGTATAAGAGGTATGTATATGAGGTATGTATAAGCTTGGGTGAGTGTGGGGACTGTAGTTCTGAGATTTCATTGGTGGTACTGGATATTGAAATCATGCAATCTGATTGGTCAATCAGAGTCATGTTCAAAAAGAACCTGACGGCCGCTCACATTAGATAGTAAATTACGGGACAAATATTTATCTAAACATTCTGTAATTTAAAGAATCTCTCTGTAAAGTTTGTTCAAGAAGAGAAGTAGGTATTGCACGTTTTGAGTAAACTTGGTAGTATTTCATTCTTATCTTACTCTCACTTTATTGAGGTATCATGTTATCGTTTACTTATGGACAGTGCTTTAATTACACGAACAAATATTGAACAATTAATCAATTTATACGGTTATCTGAGTCTACAAAAATGGTCGCAAAATTAATTATTGCAGTTATAAACACTAATCTAATTAAGTTTTATATCATTTTGTTTTATCTACTTAATAATATCTATAATGTACATCTTATCATGTTTCATCTCATTTTGAAGAGGTATTGAATACAATGATAATCAGTAAACTGCGCAGTAGTACAGTGCACTTCTCATCCCATATAGCTGATACGATGTTGTAAATTAATATGCGTATATTTACACTTCCTAATCCCTAGAGGATAAGGCAATACTAATACATGTAATAACTACAAGTTAGGTTATGGTACAGGGGAGGGGTGTACAGCACCAGTTTGTCGGACACGTGGTCACGTGTCCGACACGTGGTCACCGAGTTGAGGAGTGTTATAAAGTTGTTGTACTCTATAGTTGATAGATAACGTCACGCGATATTTGTGACGTCACGTGATGATTTTGTTATAATGTAATAAAAGTTCTCTGTGTTCAATTTCAGATTTTGAAGATTTGACAGTCATTGCTCTTGATAGAGTTACATGGAAGTTTAGTTTTATCTTTTGAGACAGCTGCCAATAAAGTTCTTAGGATTGTTGTTATAATAATTAATAATATTTATAATAATAATAATTTAATAAAGTACCTTCTCTCCAATCTCAGTATTGTCTCCATTAGGAAGTATCTGAAGGTCAGTCTCCAGGGCACAGCTCGTTATTACTTCCTTGTAATAACACTTGTTCCAAGGAGCCCCAAATAGGATGTTGTTTTTTAGGGAGTCGTTTAGAACCCAGGATACTTGGGGTACGTAGCTTACTGAACCCTGCCAATAGGGAACATTATAATAACCCAGGATATTTGGGGTACGTAGCTAACTGAACCCTGCCAATAGGGAACATTATAATTACCCAGGATATTTGGGGTACGTATCTTACTGAACCCTGCCAATAGGGAACATTATAATAACCCAGGATATTTGGGGTACGTAGCTTACTGAACCCTGCCAATAGGGAACATTATAATAACCCAGGATATTTGGGGTACGTAGCTTACTGACCCTGCCAATAGGGAACATTATAATAACCCAGGATATTTGGGGTACGTAGCTTACTGAACCCTGCCAATAGGGAACATTATAATAACCCAGGATACTTGGGGTACGTAGCTAACTGAACCCTGCCAATAGGGAACATTATAATAACCCAGGATACTTGGGGTACGTAGCTAACTGAACCCTGCCAATAGGGAACATTATAATAACCCAGGATACTTGGGGTACGTAGCTAACTGAACCCTGCCAATAGGGAACATTATAATAACCCAGGATACTTGGGGTACGTAGCTTACTGAACCCTGCCAATAGGGAACATTATAATAACCCAGGATACTTGGGGTACGTAGCTAACTGAACCCTGCCGATAGGGAACATTATAATAACCCAGGATACTTGGGGTACGTAGCTTACTGAACCCTGCCAATAGGGAACATTATAATAACCCAGGATACTTGGGGTACGTAGCTTACTGAACCCTGCCAATAGGGAACATTATAATAACCCAGGATACTTGGGGTACGTAGCTTACTGAACCCTGCCAATAGGGAACATTATAATAACCCAGGATACTTGGGGTACGTAGCTTACTGACCCTGCCAATAGGGAACATTATAATAACCCATGATATTTGAGGTACGTAGCTTACTGAACCCTGCCAATAGGGAACATTATAATAACCCAGGATATTTGGGGTACGTAGCTTACTCAACCCTGCCAATAGGGAACATTATAATAACCCAGGATACTTGGGGTACGTAGCTTACTGAACCCTGCCAATAGGGAACATTATAATAACCCAGGATACTTGGAATACGTAGCTTACTGAACCCTGCCAATAGGGAACATTATAATAACCCAGGATACTTGGGGTGCGTAGCTAACTGAACCCTGCCAATAGGGAACATTATAATAACCCAGGATATTTGGGGTACGTAGCTTACTGAACCCTGCCAATAGGGAACATTATAATAACCCAGGATACTTGGGGTACGTAGCTTACTGAACCCTGCCAATAGGGAACATTATAATAACCCAGGATACTTGGGGTACGTAGCTAACTGAACACTGCCAATAAGGAACATTATAATAACCCAGGATACTTGGGGTACGTAGCTTACTGAACCCTGCCAATAGGGAACATTATAATAACCCAGGATACTTGGGGTACGTAGCTTACTGAACCCTGCCAATAGGGAACATTATAATAACCCAGGATACTTGGGGTACGTAGCTTACTGACCCTGCCAATAGGGAACATTATAATAACCCATGATATTTGAGGTACGTAGCTTACTGAACCCTGCCAATAGGGAACATTATAATAACCCAGGATATTTGGGGTACGTAGCTTACTCAACCCTGCCAATAGGGAACATTATAATAACCCAGGATACTTGGGGTACGTAGCTTACTGAACCCTGCCAATAGGGAACATTATAATAACCCAGGATACTTGGAATACGTAGCTTACTGAACCCTGCCAATAGGGAACATTATAATAACCCAGGATACTTGGGGTGCGTAGCTAACTGAACCCTGCCAATAGGGAACATTATAATAACCCAGGATATTTGGGGTACGTAGCTTACTGAACCCTGCCAATAGGGAACATTATAATAACCCAGGATACTTGGGGTACGTAGCTTACTGAACCCTGCCAATAGGGAACATTATAATAACCCAGGATACTTGGGGTACGTAGCTAACTGAACACTGCCAATAAGGAACATTATAATAACCCAGGATACTTGGGGTACGTAGCTTACTGAACCCTGCCAATAGGGAACATTATAATAACCCAGGATACTTGGGGTACGTAGCTTACTGAACCCTGCCAATAGGGAACATTATAATAACCCAGGATACTTGGGGTACGTAGCTAACTGAACCCTGCCAATAGGGAACATTATAATAACCCAGGATACTTGGGGTACGTAGCTAACTGAACCCTGCCAATAGGGAACATTATAATAACCCAGGATACTTGGGGTACGTAGCTAACTGAACCCTGCCAATAGGGAACATTATAATAACCCAGGATACTTGGGGTACGTAGCTAACTGAACCCTGCCAATAGGGAACATTATAATAACCCAGGATACTTGGGGTACGTAGCTAACTGAACCCTGCCAATAGGGAACATTATAATAACCCAGGATACTTGGGGTACGTAGCTAACTGAACCCTGCCAATAGGGAACATTATAATAACCCAGGATACTTGGGGTACGTAGCTAACTGAACCCTGCCAATAGGGAACATTATAATAACCCAGGATACTTGGGGTACGTAGCTAACTGAACCCTGCCAATAGGGAACATTATAATAACCCAGGATATTTGGGGTACGTAGCTAACTGAACCCTGCCAATAGGGAACATTATAATAACCCAGGATACTTGGGGTACGTAGCTAACTGAACCCTGCCAATAGGGAACATTATAATAACCCAGGATATTTGGGGTACGTAGCTAACTGAACCCTGCCAATAGGGAACATTAGAATAACCCAGGATACTTGGGGTACGTAGCTTACTGAACCCTGCCAATAGGGAACATTATAATAACCCAGGATACTTGGGGTACGTAGCTAACTGAACCCTGCCAATAGGGAACATTATAATAACCCAGGATACTTGGGGTACGTAGCTAACTGAACCCTGCCAATAGGGAACATTATAATAACCCAGGATACTTGGGGTACGTAGCTAACTGAACCCTGCCAATAGGGAACATTATAATAACCCAGGATACTTGGGGTACGTAGCTAACTGAACCCTGCCAATAGGGAACATTATAATAACCCAGGATACTTGGGGTACGTAGCTTACTGAACCCTGCCAATAGGGAACATTATAATAACCCAGGATACTTGGGGTACGTAGCTAACTGAACCCTGCCAATAGGGAACATTATAATAACCCAGGAAACTTGGGGTACGTAGCTAACTGAACCCTGCCAATAGGGAACATTATAATAACCCAGGATACTTGGGGTACGTAGCTAACTGAACCCTGCCAATAGGGAACTTTATATTAACCCAGGAAACTTGGGGTACGTAGCTAACTGAACCCTGCCAATAGGGAACATTATAATAACCCAGGATACTTGGGGTACGTAGCTAACTGAACCCTGCCAATAGGGAACATTATAATAACCCAGGATACTTGGGGTACGTAGCTTACTGAACCCTGCCAATAGGGAACATTATAATAACCCAAGATATTTGGGGTACGTGGCTTACAGTCCGTTAATAACTCACATTCAAGTAGACTTCACCCTCCATTTTGTCCATTTCTCCCAACATGGCTGAAACCAGGGAAGATTTGCCGGATCCTACAGCTCCCACTATAGCTACTAGTTTCCCCCGCGGGATTGTAACGTTTATACTGAGATTGTAGGATTTGATTAGTAACTTATATGAAACTTCAACTATATAATTACGACCAAGACGACACAACATAAACATAATACACATATAACACGTGACTACACATAACACGTGACTACATATAACACGTGACTACACATAACACGTGACTACACATAACACGTGACTACACATAACACGTGACTACACATAACACGTGACTACACATAACACGTGACTACACATAACACGTGACTACACATAACACGTGACTACACATAACACGTGACTACACATAACACGTGACTACACATAACACGTGACTACACATAACACGTGACTACACATACCACGTGACTACACATAACACGTGACTACACATAACACGTGACTGCACATAACACGTGACTACACATAACACGTGACTACACATAACACGTGACTACACATAACACGTGACTACACATAACACGTGACTACACATAACACGTGACTACACATAACACGTGACTACACATAACACGTGACTACACATACCACGTGACTACACATAACACGTGACTACACATAACACGTGACTGCACATAACACGTGACTGCTCACTTATCCAAGGTGACAGTGTTGACTTCATCCTTCATGTCCCAGGAGAACTTGCCCCCTTTGATCTGTGCAGCAGTAGGAGAGTCCGCCTCCCCACTTATAACAGCATCCTCCTCCAGCTCCGTCAGGTTCAGGAATGTCTTGATACGAACTATACTTACTCTTGCCTGTATTTAATGGCAAACCTTTTATTATAAGTTTTTATTTTAAATTCTTTAATAAATCTGCTGTTATTAGCGAGGAAGAACATATCTGTGGACTTAAATTATTTAAAGTTAGAACTTAATTTTCAATAATTGGTTTTACAAGATACTAGTATCTGAACCTGTATTAGTTGTGTGATCATGTTAGGCAACATAACTAGAGGAAAGCGGAGAATGTTGAAGAGCGTGAGAGAAACAAAAGCCTTCTCTGATGTCAGATTGTTACCTAGCAGACTGTAACACAGGAAGGATAGGAGAGACACCTGCAGTGATATTTACTTTACTTTAGATCATGTGATCAGATCACGTGTTTCATTACATTCCATACTTGTTAGTTGTGATATAATGGTATTCCATTCCATACTTGTTAGTTGTGATATAATGGTATTCCATTCCATACTTGTTAGTTGTGATATAATGGTATTCCATTCCATACTTGTTAGTTGTGATATAATGGTATTACATACGGTACTTGTTAGTTGTGATATAATGGTATTGAAAAGTTTTAATACTAACAAGTATAGGTGAACAGGTCCACATAAAGGTTATGATAATACCAAACTTTATGCGACTCTTCATTGCCCCCAACTCTTGAGACCTTATACCGTCCACCTCCTGAAATATAGTGGAGATGAGACCTTATACCGTCCACCTCCTGTAATACAGTGGAGATGAGACCTTATACCGTCCACCTCCTGAAATATAGTGGAGATGAGACCTTATACCGTCCACCTCCTGAAATATAGTGGAGATGAGACCTTATACCGTCCACCTCCTGAAATATAGTGGAGATGAGACCTTATACCGTCCACCTCCTGAAATACAGTGGAGATGAGACCTTATACCGTCCACCTCCTGAAATATAGTGGAGATGAGACCTTATACCGTCCACCTCCTGAAATATAGTGGAGATGAGACCTTATACCGTCCACCTCCTGAAATATAGTGGAGATGAGACCTTATACCGTCCACCTCCTGAAATATAGTGGAGATGAGACCTTATACCGTCCACCTCCTGTAATATAATACAGTGGAGATAGTATTCAAACAATATATAGTAACTAATTACAACACTACAAATCTATTACATCTATTGAGAATTATGTAATGTAACGTGATGGAAATATTTTAAGCGGGCATATCCTGTCCAAACCCAGGATGCACGACACGAATAATTCGTTATAACTTTGTATGAAAAGCATTAATAGATAATATCACAATGACCCTATACAAAAGTAAAAATCTGAGTTTAAAAAACCCTTAAAAACTGAGAAACATTTATAAAAAACCTTTACAGTAAAAGTAGCCAAATTAAATTTATAATGTATCAGGGTTAAACAAAGTTTAAATAGATGACCTTCAAAATAACGTGACTTTGGAGGATATAATATTAGTGAGCTTCCTGGCCCCCCCCCCCCCTTCCTAGCTATATCTCCTTCATTATGTCTTTAGTAAGTGTCTCTAATAGACTTATGAAAGCTCCTCTGTTTAAACTAGAAGATAAATACCTTGAGGAAGGAATCCTCCCAACCGTACAGTTTAATAACTTTTATCCCATCTAAAACTTCATTTGTCTTCTTCACCCGCTGATCAGTTATCTTCATTATAGTTCGCTGAGGAGTAAACACGTGCATTAAGAGGGAAGTGATGTGTTCACACAATGTCACGTGACGTCACAAACAATCACGTGACGTCACAAACAATCACGTGACGTCACAAACAATCACGTAACGTCACAAGAATCACGTGACGTCACAAGAATCACGTGACGTAACCGTTATTATATACCGCGTGGTGTGACCCACCTGAAAGCCGTGCATCTTGCCCATAAGAACAGAGTTAAAAGGTAACATGATGATAGTGACACTGATCCCAACAAAGGTGCTAGCTCCCAGCTCCTGGTACAACAGGTACATAGCTAGGATTATCTGCAGTGGAGCTGACCATATCATGTTGATGTAGGTGAAGATTTCCTGGGGGAGAAGCAAGTATGTAAAGTATGTAAAGTATGTAAAGTATGTAAAGTATGTAAAGTATGTAAAGTATGTAAAGTATGTAAAGTATGTAAAGTATGTAAAGTATGTAAAGTATGTAAAGTATGTAAAGTATGTAAAGTATGTAAAGTATGTAAAGTATGTAAAGTATGTAAAGTATGTAAAGTATGTAAAGTATGTAAAGTATGTAAAGTATGTAAAGTATGTAAAGTATGTAAAGTATGTAAAGTATGTAAAGTATGTAAAGTATGTAAAGTATGTAAAGTATGTAAAGTATGTAAAGTATGTAAAGTATGTAAAGTATGTAAAGTATGTAAAGTATGTAAAGTATGTAAAGTATGTAAAGTATGTAAAGTATGTAAAGTATGTAAAGTATGTAAAGTATGTAAAGTATGTAAAGTATGTAAAGTATGTAAAGTATGTAAAGTATGTAAAGTATGTAAAGTATGTAAAGTATGTAAAGTATGTAAAGTATGTAAAGTATGTAAAGTATGTAAAGTATGTAAAGTATGTAAAGTATGTAAAGTATGTAAAGTATGTAAAGTATGTAAAGTATGTAAAGTATGTAAAGTATGTAAAGTATGTAAAGTATGTAAAGTATGTAAAGTATGTAAAGTATGTAAAGTATGTAAAGTATGTAAAGTATGTAAAGTATGTAAAGTATGTAAAGTATGTAAAGTATGTAAAGTATGTAAAGTATGTAAAGTATGTAAAGTATGTAAAGTATGTAAAGTATGTAAAGTATGTAAAGTATGTAAAGTATGTCAAGTATGTAAAATATGTTCACTATGTAAAGTATGTAATAGTTGTAAAATCTTTTTAAAATTTTCA